ATTGAGAAGAGCTGGAGAGACGTGTGTGTATTTTCCAATACAGCTGACATATTTCGACAAGCATCATACCCTCATAATTTTAGTTCAACGATGAAGAAAATCTACGGTTGGCCCAAATGTAGTGTATATGAGATATTAGAGAAGAAAATGGTACCTATTTATAAATAATTCCACTGAATTAAATACCCTAATGCAATGATGATAAAAAACATGTAATCAAACGAATAAAATTAAATATATGTAGATAATACTAACCCTTCTAGATAATTGTACCTTGTTAATATTTTAGTGGAGTTTTAGACTCTTAAAAATAAAAGGAGCGTCAACTTAGGATACAAATAAAACAATTAGCTTATGTCACATTCATTTTAACTACAGTCTGACCAAACCTTAACACGGTATAGATTTAACAGTCAATTAAATATCTAGGTATGTTTACACAACCGCAAACTATTGTTATAATTTAATTTGCAAGAATTTATAGGTTAAGTTAAGTGTCATACACAGCCTATAACAAAATATATTTAAGAGCACAAACAGAATTATCAAGGCGTTATTTATCATCGATTTTTATAATTTGTATCTTTGAAATCCATAATAAAAAATGGAATGAACAAGAACTCTATTATTTTATATAATGTATTTTGGTCCACCTAGATACTGTGCGTCCCTAAAAAGATTGTTGGTATTTTTTAATTTTTAAGAACTTTACAAAAAATTGATTACCATTAGATGTTTGTCTATTGTTTAAGAATATGTTCTAAAGCAGTATGCAACCAAATCTTAAGTAACACATGTCAAAAAAAAATACATCTCCCAAAATAGAGATTTTAATGAAAAATTTCAAAAATTAACATTGTAATTTTTGCTGTTTTCTTTATAAAAATTACAATAAAGTAGTGATTTCTAATATTCTGTATTACCACCTCTATACTGAATTACACTCCTCATTCGACTTAATTATTGAATTAAGTTGATCAAATTCTGGATGTTGTCTTGAAGAAAAGCTTCCCATTCTTCCATGAGCTCCAACCGAAGTGCTCACGATTTATTGGAGCAGGTATTCTGCTTCTTACTCTTCATTTGAGTAGGCCCCAAACATGCTCAATCGGATTCAAATCTGGACTTTGATCCGGCAAATTCATTTTGGGCACATTGATGGTTTCCACGTATTGCGTTACCATCCTGGCTACGTGTGGCCGCGCGTAGACCTGCATGAAAATAAAGTTTTTCCACTCACTAGTAAATAGTATATTACGCTACAATTTGGTATGTATAGATGCATCATAACAATACTGACACGTAATGACTAGCACGTAATAAAAAAATTACGCTTCAGTTTATAAAAATGTGTAATACACATAAGCCTCGTAAGTCAGTTGTCGATTACCATGGAAACGCAATTAAACATGTACGTCTGGTGGAATTCAATTTTTATTTTTATAAACGAAATAATGTAGAAAAATATAGTACACAACTTGAGTTGTAAGCTTATTACATGCTGTAAAATTACTGCGCATACGCACGCTACGCGGCTCGCGCGCTACTTTCTTACTCGCATTAATAAACTTCTTACAACTCTCTATGTAATATACGATTCTCTAGCAAACAACAAAACATTACGGCTCGTCTAGAATTTCGGTATGTATCGTGAGCATTCAATGCTTTTCTATCAATAACTTTGCTAGGAACAACGAGCTCGTAGACCAAGCATTATCGTTCTCCACGTCTTCTGACGTATTGATCACCTTCTGTGCTTAATCTTCACCCGTAAGCATATTAAAAAATGTTTTGCATTGCTCTAGCCTTAAAGAACCGATTTTGCAAAGAAGTACGTTGTACAGAAAGGTCTTCTCTGGCCTTCGTGATTCGTATCGAGCCTGATCCTGGTCGTCGTTCGTGAGATTTAGTCTCTACGAATGGTTGATATGTTTTTTGGACCATACAACGACTGACTCCAAGCTATCTGCCCACTTCTCTATGACTCAGTAACAAACTGAACAGATCTAGTAAATCTCTTATATTCTCTCTGTAAAAGTAAGCCATACTTTTAAATTTAAAAATTGCACAAGGTCACTCTTTGAACAGGTGTACACTATAAAAAGATTTTTGAAAAACAGAACGGCCATATTCTAAGAAAAAGTGTACAAACAACACGTGGATTCTCCGAAGTCGTAAAACTGATATAAATTCTGCACACTTATTACCCTTAATTGACCTGTCGGCACCTAGTGGCGGTGCTTAAAAGTATTTCGGCATATTGAGAGTTTAGTTACAATAGAATAAATTGCATAAACTAAAAATTATTGAAAAATTGTTATAAAATTCTAGGTGGCCTGTTTTTAATCACGCGCAGTGTATTTTGATTGGACATTTTTGTAAGTTTTAGCCTGTGTTACCTCTTAAAAGAACTTTTAACCTATTAACCACTGGATTTATGTGTAGAGAACACTTACATAGGATGGGATGAAAGATAATTTAAATGTCTTCTAGTATAAGGTATAGAATATAGGGCCCCTTTAAAATAAGAATACTATTCAATTCACATGTAGGCCAAATTTAACTAAAATAATAAAACACCCTGTATAATGAAATGATAAAAACCTAAAATTTAAAACTTTATATTTTTAGAAAAATCGAAATAATCAAACACACTGTAGTTAGGAATAGGGACCCCTATAAAAATATAGTTTATTTATATATAGGCTATTTTTAAATGTTCAAAAAAATAGGGTTAAAAGTAACTATAGCGTTAAAGGGATTTTATTGTTTCATATAGTCAATGGACCCACAAATATGAAAAAACCGCGGAGTGCTACCATTTAAAGGGTTGTGTTTTTGTAAGTTCTAGGCACTCTTCGTACATATACATCTACAGAAAAGATATTCAAATTAAATTTTCTATCAAAATATCACCCTTTAAAGTCCAAAATAATTTTTTTTAAAAATATATACAAAAAACGAAACAAAAAAACAGGGAACTACGCGATTTTTCTTTTTTACCACATAACTTGTTCCACGGGGGTGCAGTGCTTTACAGGAAAAAACTCCTTTAAAAATTACGTTTACTGAAAGTATTTCACACCCCCGGAAAAGCGAGATATCGGCCAAAAGGCGAACCGCAAAGAATTGATTGCGAATTGATTGCCGAAGTTTTATGTCAAGAAATAATTTATTCCTGCAACAGTTGCCGAGAAATAAATGATTAAGACTAGCATATGCTAGTCTCGTTAAGGAAAAGGAGTGCAAGGCCCATCTTGACGGCATATTTTATTGCTAATTAATTGCTGTTGATCGGTATATAAACCAATCTCCAATAACTACCCCATCATCCCTTAGCTCAAAACATACTCCAGAAAAACCGAGATATCGACCAAAAAGCGATTGATTGCTAATTTATTGTCAAAGTTTTACACCAAGAAACAGTTTTTGAATAAAGGATTTATATCGAGAATCTTGCTAAAAAGATTCTGCATCTACCTAAGCTTCAAAGAGGTAGCAGAAAAACTAGTTATTAATAATACTAAATTAAAAGTTTAGTAATAACAACAATAAAAACAAAAAAAACTGATCAATAAAAGTTACTCTGCGCCTTGCACACGAGAAGAAGAATCAAGCGACAATTTATATTAAAAAATTGTTGTCAACATAATTTACGCAAAACTACAAGACAACAATAGTGTGTGTGTATTACCTTAAATACTCTAAAATAATACTTATTATTCATACATTGTACTTATTGTATACATACAGTAAGTACTTTAAACATGATCCGTAATATTTGCACTAATTGACACTACTGACTTCAAAAATCTATATTCAATATTAGTTCTTAATGTATAAGTGAAAAATGTTAGAATTTAAATTAATTTAATGAATAAGCAATGATTGACTTATTCTGTTGAGCGTAGCGTAAGGCTTACTTGTCTATTCCAGACTGATTTCGGGTATTTTCTGGCGCCATAACTCAAAAAAATTTATAGATTTTAATGACATTTTTTAGATGGCATACTATTGGCGAATAGGGAAAAGAAGCTGTATAGTTTTTAGTGTATATCACCTATCGTATGGGAATTTATTGCATAAAAAGTGCATTATTTAACTTTTTGCAGTAACTTTATTCAATAAAGATTCATTTTATTAGCAAAAGCTGCTATCGTTGTGTTGAATTAAAATTATATAAATATAAATATATATATATGTGTGTGTATGTGCGTGTGTGATGTTTGTGTATACAAATTGTTTATGTATTAAATTTATAGTTAGAAGTTGAAGGTATCTACCAAAAGTCAAAGATCTTGAATATTAGTCACTATACATTTTATATTAGAAATGGGATTTATTCAAACGAATTTGCATTATGATCAAGATTGTCAAAATAATTGTAGCTACACCATATGTTATTAAAGGGAAACACCAACTAGGGTGAACTATGGCCAACCCCACTGTACATAAAATAAGTGAGAGGGCACAAGTTAGAAAATATACATCTGCCTAGTCTGGCTCCTGTCTAGAAAAGTATAAATAAAAAAGTGTTAATCATGTGGGTATATCAGATTACTAAATAGGTAAGTAAATAGAAGCAGGCACCAATGGTCTAGTTTTTAATACTTCAGAATGAAGTAACTTCCTACTGTATGCTCACATGAATTTAAATTTGGTTTATTTATAGATGCTGTAGCTATTTTTGTGGAAGGCATAACAAATCCTACATGTTTAAGGGATATGTTCAGCCGTTTACTGCAAAAACTAATAATTATTTAATAAACAGATTTTTACAAACAAACTTAAGTACTGTTTTCGGTAACTTCGGTAACTTGTTTATCGAAATATCCTGTGTTGTAGATTTTTACGATTAAAAAAACGTTTATAGTTCATAACAATGACTAGTTAACAAATATTATAACAAGTAAAATGTTTGTCACAAGAAGGACATAGGTACTTAATACTAAACTGATGTATATGTAGGTAATAAGTATAAAAATTGTTTAAAAACATACCTAAATCCAAAAAAATAAACATGTGGAAATGTCACAACCGTTTCAAATTAACTAAAAATATAAATTAACCGAAATTACTAGAAAAGGCAAACTAAAAACAAACTAAAAAGAAAAAAGAAAAAAAAATTAAAAACGAATACAACTACAACGCGCTTGAGTTCGTTTTGCTACTGACTGGTATACTCGGCTTGGAACGTTTTTGTCGACTCCGGAATTGTAGATTGTGAGGGTTACTTACACATGCGTGGATTATACTAGAGGTTGGCGATTATAGCCGCTTCAATTGTTTAAACAATTTTTATCTATTCGGTTTATTGTATTTTATAAACACGTGCAGAGGTAGGCTACAATGGTTGAGTTTTAAAATTATTTAGTTTTTATTACTGCCAAATAAATTAAAGGACCTCATAAAGCACAGACATCAATAACCATCATCGTTCTCTTTTTCCCACAATTCTTTTTGATGTTCCTCCGTTTATTAAATAATGTTAAGGTAGATATTATTTTAATATGACTTTACACAAAGCAGATTTCTTTAGTATCTTGATATTTGATTCGATTGTTTGAAATTTTAATACCTATTGATTTATTGTAAACATCCAGAAAGCATTCTTTAGAGTAAACAGGAACAGTATCATGGAAGATCTTAATAAGATGCAGGACGCAAAATATATCATACACATTCTAAAACAAAACTAATACTTTTTCAACATACTTATCTATAGATTCAGTAGATGTATAGTATTATGTGCAAATAACCAGTTTTTAATCCGACAATGAAAACGAGTTACAATACGGTTCGTACCTCTACTTGACCGCCCAAATAATATGAAATAATAATATCAACAAACAAAACAAAAGTAATGGCATTTATAGAGCACAAACCTTGTAGATAAAAAATAGCTATAAAAAGGGAAATAGGTGCCTAATAGAACCGATGAAAGAATTTAATTATTTCTTGTGTAATAATATAACATTTCGGAATTGAAATTTTGAAGAAAGGGCGAAGATTACGCAAAAGCCGGCATATTAAACAATAAATAAATAAAAAATAAACTTAATGTCTAAAGGTTTAAAAATATATATATATGAAAAACTATAGAGAGATATATAATACTAAAGTAAATATTGGGAGAAAACTAAATATTGAATCCAAATACTTATTTGGGTATAAGAGACTTAAAATACTCCTGGCAAGAAAATTACAAAATAGAATAAACGTACAACTTACTTCCCAAAATTTTGTGGTGGGAAAGATATAAAAGTGTTCAAATTGGGATCAAGATAACTGTAGCAAAACACAAATAATTGTATTTCGCAATTCTAGTATCTTAGAGTTACTAAAAACAACGCTGACCAATTCCCCCTGGATTTGATGGGAGAAAGACTCAATATAAGCCGGATAGCATCCTATCTGGGTGTTCTGTTTGTCAAGAGTCTCAACTGGCATGCTGATCAAAAGGCAACTTTAGATATGGTACGAAACAGATACCGATTCCCTAAACCATTTGCAGGGAGACTCGGCAGGACAAACATAAAGACTCTCATACATACTGATAAAACATATGTTCGAGCCATTATACAGTATAAGTCTATTTTATACTGCCTTCTAAAAATTAATCAGAAACTCTGGAGATTCCTCTCTCGTGAAATCCATAACATTTCTAACATTGCAACTACTATCGAGAGAATTTCCTCTCTCAACAGGAACTTTACCCTCAAAGTCATAAGCGACCCCAATCAAACACACAAGAGGCCTAAAAAGGTCTTGCTCTTCTTACGGTCACGTACGATACCTCATACCCAAAAAAAACTATATCTTCCGTCTTCCCGGTTGAGTACCGGTTGCAGAATGCTAGCGCATTCCGCAACCATTTCCTAACAAATCCTTTAATGTTGGGCGAGCTGAGGCGAGCGTCACGGAGCTAGCGCCACAAAATGGCGTCGTCACGGATACCGTCATAGAACAGCGGTTCTTGACATCGATTCACTACTCTCTATCAATTCGTTTCTAAGCATCATATATTTCATAGAAGCAGGTTTAAAATATAAAACTGCATGAAAAATAATTAACAAAAGATAGACATTAAATAAGAAATAAAAAATTCAAATAATATCTGTCACTAAAAGATTCGATTCGTAACGATTGTCAAAATTTAATCATCATTATCATCATTCTGGCTTTACAACCCTGCGTGGGTCCTAGCCTCCTCAAAAATTTCTCTCCAGTCGTCCCTATCCACCGCATTTCTCCGCCAAGCACGTATTTCCATATTGCTCATGTCTTAATCGATGTTATCAAGGAACCATGTTCTGGGTCTTCCCCTTCTTCTCTGACCAATGGGTCTATCAAGGAGCGTTTTTCTAGCCGAGTCATTTTGTTTTATCCGCCTAATCCACCTTTTTTTTTTCTTTTGTTTTTTCGTCTTTATAGATGGGGCTCTGGAATCTTCAAAAGACATCTCAGTCCAGGACACCGCCTGACTAACCTTATTGCAGGATTCGTTCTTGGTACTCCCGGCGATAGTTCCCGAGGTACTTTAAAATGCCCTCTCGTCGCCGAGTCTATCCCGATTGCCTACCTGCCAAACCAGACCTTCCTCTGTCATCCAGCGATCCGGAAGCGGAATGTAAGCTTTAAGGCCAGCAATCACTTCCTAAGCACGACCTTTATTCATTCATTCTCCATTCATACACATCCACACTTTATTCATCAGCAAAGAGGCTCCCTGTCTCGTTCCAGGCAGCGCGTAGAAGACCCTCATCGTTCCTAGTTCGGCATCAATCCCAGGCGGGCATTTCCTTCTTCCCCACAGTCTGACTCACGCAATGTAAACTCATACAGTCTGGCTCACTTTTCTAGCTTCAACTTTCAGCATCTTTCACTATTACCTTTGACGTTGGTCCAGCTGTCTTTCTTCCACTTCCTTTTTTTTTTATCACTGCTCGGATATAGCTGTGTATGTTAGTCCAACATGATTTATTATCAATCATTTCTCTCACGTGTAACACCATTCAACACCTCTCACTCTCTCTCTCTCTCTCCCCTCTCATCCTCATCGCTCTCTCCTAACTCTCTCCTCTCTCCTCTCTCTCTCTCCCTCTTTTCGTCTCTCTCTCTCTACCAACTGTTCCTTTCTTCTTATGTTCCTTTCAACTATCATATGTTGCAATCTAACATCGTATGTGTCGTAGTGTCCGAGTATACACAGTATAGGCGTTTATCTGTGTTAGCCTTTCCGATCCTAGAGAGGTAGGCCCTAAAACACCTGTGTCCTGTGAGCACCTGCGTCAGGAAATAATCCAGTCGCCTATGGCCACAGTCCACCCAATCTCTTATCTTCGGGATTAGCATTTTCGTCCCCTGTGCCACATCCTCCATGTTGTTTCATTCTTCTTGCCAAACTTCAAATGACCTTTCCCTTTCCTGTCTTCTCTCGGCCACATTAAGGTTTGGGCCCCTTCTCTCATAGAGCAATAGATTTGTTCTGTCCACTCGTATCATGAGCCTCCTATAGGCCGTTGTCTCTACCACCACGCTCCAGACTGGTGCCGCGTAGAGAACGATCGACTGTACATCGTGTAAGACCCTCCTCCTTTTGGATTTGGGTCCTCCAATGTTGGGCATCGCCCTCCCCAACGCAGCCGCACTATTCGCAGCCTTCCGGACCACCTCCCGCATATGCTCCCCACATTTTTTATTCTGGTGCAATGTCGCTCCTAGGTACTTTTCTTGTTTCTTGTGTATTAGACATGCTCCCGCATATTGCAATTCAATACTTTGCCTGTTCCTTGTCCCCTTCAGAATGATGGCTTCGGTTTTCTCTGCCGCAAGTTTCAGTCCGTGCTGCCTCATCCGTTTCTTTAAGACGCGGCCTGTTTTCCGAACCCGGTATTTGAGATCTGGCTCGTCCCGGGCCACTACCAGTACAACGAGGACATTCGCGAATGCGAAGGGGGTTGTACCCTCTTGGTATTCACAGTGCATAACCCCGTCATATGCCAGGTTCCAGATCCAAGACAGACCCCTGTGGTACTCCGGCCATCACGACCACGATCGTGCCCTTTTCTACCATAATCCTTCTCTTAGACACATACTCCACAACCACATTCATCAGACATGCCTCAGACATCCACCTCAGATGTCCTATCTTAATATGTTTTACGATATCAGGTTCCTGGTATTTTCTATAAAGTTCGAAGTTGTATGGTCTTCTCCACACTCCATTGTCATTTCCTGTTCCATAGGTTCGCCTTAGTACTTTTCTTCCGAAATATTCCAACATGTTTTCATTATTTTTTGTTAGAGTCCAGGTCTCTGAACCATATGTTAGGACTGGGCGTATTATTGTTTTCTAGAGCTTTATTTTTATATTTCTCGATATAATTGTGAATTTAAGCCCTTAACTTTAAGGGATTGAGCCCAAAGTAGCATCTGTTGGCCATGCAAATTCTGCGGTTTATCTCTCTTCGTTTTGTTGGTGTTTATTATTAAACCCATTTTTGTAGCTGATTCTTTTAATGTTACATACGCCTCTCGTACAGCGTTTTTCGTTCTCCCAACAATATTGATATCATTAGCATAGGCCAGAATTTGGATTAATTTATTATATATTGCATCAGTGGTTGTGATGTGTGACATACGTATTACTTTTTCCAGAGCTACATTGAACAGTATACAGGAGAGAGGGTCTTCCTGGCGCAACCTGTTATTTATTTTAAAAGGTTCAGACAGTTCCCCCTGAATTCGCACTCTACATTCAACTTTTTTAAGAGTTAGTTTTGTTAAATTTACTAACTGATTTGGCATTCCTAGCTCATTCATTGCTTTGAGCATTTCTCTTCTATTCACAGAGTCGTGGGTTGCTTTGTAGTATATAAGTCAAAATTTAATAAAAGTCATAAATGTCATCCTATCAATCATTGAATCATCTGTTTCAATTTTTATAATAATTCTCGTAAAATAATTTCATATAAATACAATTATTATTTTTAAACATATTTTGTTTATATAATAATTAAATTTACTATCAAATAATATTTATTTATATTTTATTATTAATATTTTGTCTGAATTTTACAGGTTTGTCATA